TCCCAGGCACAAAGATCTGCCCACCGCACCACTGCATGTGCTGGTAACACCAGAGCCAGCCCTGCCCTGGCTAACACCACACCCCCCCATCCAGGCAAGGGGGCTGGCAGCAGGCTCTCAGCATCCCTGGCCACAGACACCCCGCTAAAACACGTGTCTCTGCCTAGTCACCAGTAACCGGGAAGAGGGGTGCGATGTTACCTCTGCTCAGCGTGGTGTCCTTCTTGTCTGACAAACTCATGGCCAGTGACGCTCCTTCAGGGATCTGCGGAGGAAGGGAAGAGCAGATGTCAGTGACAGGGGCCTTGGTGCCTCCCACGGAGCTGTGTGTGGCCCCGAGGACACCCTGGGAGCTAAGGGATGCTGGTGCAATCACTGCTCATTGAACATCCTTCTGCACCTGCTTTGCCCCTGTTCCCCAGCTTGGAAACTGGCAGTAACAGCACTGTCCTACATGGAATGGGTTTTTTAAATGCAAATGCAAGATAGTGAGGTTCTCAAATCCAACGGGAATCAGGCAAATACATATATCCAAGATACATTTCTGGATGTTGACACCAGGTAATTCAAGGAGAAAGTGTTGCGCTGCACAGATGCTGTTTTGCCTTTGCTCAGAAATGGAGAAGGAACCTGTCCGCAGCCCTGTCCCGCGGGGCAGGTACATCATCCCTGCTGCGGCTCTGGCTCTCGGTGCAGCAGGGCACCGTGCCAGCAGTGGGGCTCCACAGCACAGCTCTTATACACAAATAATAATATTCATAAGAACTCAGCTCCGTTTCTGATTTTCCATGCACTGTTACAGACCAGTGAGGATTATGCTCCCAGGCATACCAGGGAATATGAAAATAATGTATGAATTTCTGGTTTCATTTAATTTTAAAAGGAAAAACGGTCAAGAAAACAATCTGATTTGCCATATTTCCCCACACTTTTGGCCTCTGCTCCTCGATGGCATCCCTAGCCCCTGCTCTCAGGGCAGGCAGCGACAATTGCATCAGTGA